CCGTGGTTGCTCTGTTGAAAATAGACTGCAATCAGTTAGGAGGCTATTGCAATAATCCCAGCAAGAGAGGTGGCGGTGACTTGGACCAGGAAGGTAGCAGTGCAATGCTGAGAAGTGGCTGGATCCTGTCTATTTATAGAAGGGAGATAACAGAATTTTCTGACAGACAAATAGAGGAGTATGAAAGAAGAGTCAAATACTCAAGGGTTTTGGCCTGGAAAACGCAAGAACAGAGGTTCCACTTACTAAAATTGGGAGGACTATAGAAGGAGCAAGTTTCAGGTGAGAGAAGATCAAGACGTCAATCTTGAACACGTTATGTTGGACATGCCTATTCCATGTGCTACACATCCAGGGCAGACGATGCGGGTGCCACACCCATGTCTCCTGGGGCGTGCATGGAGGCCTGACCTTCAAATGCCAGCCTCTCCATCTCTTTGCCTCTGGGCTTTTCTCTAGTTGCTGGAGCCTGCTCTTCCTGCAAGCATTCTACCCCAGAAATATAGGGTAGTTAACGTCCTCCAGGCACAACCAATAAACAGTTCCTGGCAGGAGTTGATGTAGAAATACCCCAGCTTTCTTGCTCTTTTCATAAAACTTTAGCATGATAACTCACAGCAGGGCTAACTGGTGACTTGCTTAGTAACTGCACCCTTTATTTTTTCCTATCTTACCTCCTCTTTCTTCATCCAGTATTTTCTGAGGTCACCTCCCACATAAACTATTTGCACTTGAATCCCTACCTCAGGATCTGCTTCAGGCAGAACCCAAACTAAGAAAACTAAGTGGAGAGGTCGGTAGGCAGATGTAGTTATGCACCAGGGATCACTAAGGAAATAATAAATATGAGGGGGTCCAAGGGCTAAGCCTTCAGGTAGCCAACATTTAGAGGCTACAGAGATGAAAAGGATAGAGCAAAGGAGCCTTAGAAGAAGTGGCAAAGACAGGAGAAAAAACAGGGGTTTGTGTTGTCCTGGAAACCAAGAGATCAAGGCGTTTCAAGCAGAAGGGATGAAGCCTGAGAACTGGTTTTAGCACCTTGGAGATTATTCATGACCCTGAGTGGCCTCCACAGCAGTGTGCACATACCCTAGGGGTTGCCTCAGGTGATTCACTGGGATGAGGGAAGGAAATATTAAAATTCCTATTCCTATTTATTTATAATTATATCTTCAATTTCCATGATTATGTATATTGAAAATGTGTTAGTGCATGCATGTAATTTATAAACAAATGTACATATTTTAGGGTAGTGCTCAAAAATATTTTATTGATAAAGGAAGCCAATCAAAAAAGTGTATGGACCAATACCCTATGGTATCAGGGTGTTTCCAGATCTCTCCTGCACATCCCTATGATCAGCACCTCTTATTGCCTCTCCACTCCTTTCCTCAACTATAACTTAGACTCCAGGGAAAGTCTAAAAATCTTCCCTGAGCCCCACACTAGGGTACAGCCCCTTGTTTCATGTGCCCTTGCATCTCACACTCTTACATTGCAAGCCGGCTGTGCTGGATACCTTCCCTCCGCCTTCAGATCCATGCTCCAGCCTGCATCTGCTGTTTGTCTCCCTACATCAAGTCTCAGCCCTCTGTGTTCCAGTTGACTTTGTCTGTGGCAAGCCCATGCAGAAAATCAAAGGAAGGAGAGGGAGGCCTGATATCTGTCCTGCAGCCCCTCCCTGGAAGGTTGACTCAGGCTGGCTGGGTGCCCAGATGGGAGGTTTCAGCTCCTCTCAAGCAAGTTTTCTCTATACAACACTCTCTGGTTCTAATATCTGCTCCCTCCCCTTGTCCCTTTGGTCTTGCAGTCACATTTTGCTTGGTCCATTCTAGGTTTAAAATTGTAAATTAGTTGCTGACATTTAATGATTGGAATGTTTGCATTCAAATTCAGATGTCTGGCTCCTCTTGAAAAAATCAGATTAGGTAACACTGAGTCTTCATTCCAAACAGTAACTATATTGGATAGCAGCTGCCCCTTTGCACTGGGCATGGACCCCACTATGGCTTTACGATAAGCTTGCCACTTCATTTCCACCCTGGCCTCTAGAGACACTGGCGTTTAAGTTCTGGTTTGAGGAATGCGTTGCCCGAGATGAGGCCTATGTCAGAATCTTCACTAAATTTGGAGACAGGGGAGGTTTACCTCTCAAATCTATTTCATTCTCTCCCCCTGGGAGTCCTCTCTCTGGATTTGCTATCTTCACCTCCCAAGCCACCGTCTGCTCTCAGGCTTGATTTTCCTCTATTCATTTCCCACACTGCAGCCTGGGTACTCATTCTAAAATGGAAATCATATATGCAACTCTCCCTTAAAACCTTGTAATATCTTCCTACTGCTCTAAAGATAACGGCTACATTTTTTTAAATGACCTCCAAGGCTCTGCTTATCTGACCCCTACCTCCAGCTCCAGGCTGCTTTGGGACATTTCCCTCATTCTGTGTCCAGCACAGTGGGTTTCTCTCAGTCCTCAAGCACTTGTGTGTGTCTCACAGGGCACACGTGGGTGCAGTCCCCACAGCCAGTGGGCCTCCCCTCCTCACCTCCTGGTCACACCCTAAGCATGCCCTGTCAGGGAGGCCTTCCCATTTCCTGCCCATGCCCCTTCCTATCATGAGCTGCACTCCTAGTAGGGCTTTCTTCCGAGTCTTCCTCCCACTGGGCTGTGGGACCGGTGCCTCTGACTTTCAGTGGCCGTAGGAGGTACTCGCTGAACAAACGTTGGAAGAGTGGATTCCGAGACGTAGCTCTTCACGGAACAACAGTTTCTCCAGTCAGTGACAATTCAGAATGTTTTATCTATATAGACTATATGTCTATATTCTGAGGCATGGCTAGAATCTGACTGAACGCAAAGTGGAGGAAACAGGTGGGGACTAAAGTGGGGCCAGGAGGCACCCAGAGCGCGGAATCTCACAGCTCCTGCCCCGCACACTCTGCTCTGACCCTGGCAGGGCAGCCCATGCTAAGGATCACTCACATATAAAATAAAGAAAATTAAATTAAACTGGGACTGTGCGAAAGGGAGGTTTGTGACAGCAGCCCGAGCCGCATCACGACCCGGTCCCGGGGCGCTCCCAGCGCAGGGCGCGGGTGCAGCCAACGGACACGCCCCGGAGAGGAGGTGTGGTCGCGCTGCCAGCACCCTCCAGACCGAGGATGGGCTGTCTAGCCCTTAAAATAACAGCTCACCAACAGGCTACACCAAGCAGAAGCTTCTGTTCTAGCGGCGGCACTGAACCCTACAGTCTGAACAGTAGAGAAGATGCCACCAGGGCGGAAGGACACGCTGGGCAGGTCCCCTCCAAGGTCGCGCAGCCCCCGCGCTCCGTGCGGTGATCGCTGGCCGCCTCTGTCCCCAGCACAGAGCAAGTATGCCTTCATCGGGCACCAGCGAACCCTGCCTCTTCCCCTTCCAGAAGCCCTAAAGGACCTAGTTAATATACCAAAAACACTCCTGTTTTAAACGAGAGGTGTCTTCATGCCGGTAATCACTGTGCCAAAGTTCTTCAAGGCAGTTGTTTTGCAAGTGGGTCAAGCAGGAGCCCTGTGATCTCGTCCTCTCAGTTCACTTGCCTGGAAAGTTCTTGCTTATCAAATAAGAAGTCTGACCCAGTTTAAACCAAAACGTGAAGTATGGAGCAGAGATTCGTTTATTTTCAATCATTAATGATTTTTACTACATAATTTAATCTGTATTAATTGTACAATTTTAGGAAAGCTAGAAAATACAGATAGTAAGTAAAAAAAAATTTAAAGGAAAACCATCCATGAGCCCCTCCCTCTTCCACCATTAATAAAGTATTCTAAACATTTTGGTGAGTATCTTGCCAGATTTTTTTTCTATGTTAATGTATATTTGAATTTTTCCTCTCTTGATCTAAATTGAACATCTTTTCATGTCAATAAATAAAGATCAACATCATTATTTTGGTAGCTGCATGATGTACCATCGTAGAGATAGGTGAACCACTCTTTGATCATCTCTCTTGTTGGACACATCAGCTGCTCTCAATATCACAGAAGTCTTCTTACACATACTATTCTGCACATGTGTCAGATTCTTTCTTTGCAAGTAATTGCCAAAAGTGGAATGACTGGATCAAAGGGTGTGACTATTTTTAAGACTCTCAGTACGTAATACCAACTACAGTTGGGTATTGTCCAGTTAAACCTCCCAGCAGCCATGCATTGCAGTGCAGTTCTCATACCCTTACCAACACCAGCACACTGAGTACTAGTGTGTGTATGGTGCAGTTACATTACATGCCAGGCACCGACAAAAGCCAACAAAACTTAGCCCATACAGGGAAGGGCTGGGAGGAGAGGTGAGGAGTCAGCATGGACAGGACAGTGGGTGGAGGTTAGAGGACAGAGAACACACAGAACCCGGACATGGTGATCTTCCTAGGACAGGTGTCAGGGAAGGCTTCCTGGAAGAGGGCGGTTCTGAGGCTATCCTTGCAAGATCATCAGGAGTTACCTGAATAAAGGTCAGGGAAGGGGTGATGAACCAGACAGAGGAAATGATCCAGGTGGATTCAGGTAGAGGAAAGTCCCAGGGATGAATGTTCAGATTTTTTTCAGGGAACAACAAAAAGTTGGACCAAAACGTGTGCAGGGAGGTGGGTCTGTGGACAGGAGTCATGGGCTAGTGGGCAAAGAAAAGGGTTGGGTCTGGTTAAGAAGGGCTCTCTATGCTAAGCCAAGCACTTTTAACTTTATCCAAAAAACTGAATAAAGATCATTAAAATGAAAGCTCCCTGGGAGGCAGGAATTGGCATTAAAATCTGGAAAACTCAGACTGATCCAAAGGACTAGCACTTACACTGAACTCATGAATTGCTTTCTGTCATTACTGCTGATGAGCTCTGTGAGCTCGGGAACAGCCACTTAACCTCTGTGTCTAGTGAAACAAAGGTCCCTTCCAGTTCTAAATGTCTGTGCTACTATGAACACTGGCACCTCCCTTGACTTTCTTTTTTATTTTTCCCCAGAAAAGGTGGCCATTAAGATCCTGGACAAGACCAAGTTAGACCAGAAAACTCAAAGGCTACTATCTCGTGAAATCTCCAGCATGGAAAAACTGTACCATCCCAACATTATCCGTCTTTACGAAGTTGTGGAGACTCTGTCCAAGCTTCATTTGGTGATGGAGTATGCAGGAGGTGGGGAGCTCTTTGGGAAAATTAGCACTGAAGGGAAGCTCTCAGAACCAGAAAGCAAGCTCATCTTCTCCCAGATCGTGTCCGCTGTGAAGCACATGGTGAGCGGGCATGAGCAATAAGAGTCTTGCTCCCATTCTACCCACAATGAGAGCATGGGGCTTTAGTTTACTAACACCCAAGCTTCCCAGAGGGCCTTAGTCCTACAAGGACAGACAATAGTCCATCTGTGAGAGTCAGAAGTCTGGCTGGGCTCATGCTCCTTGCCTCTGAGGCAACTCCCTGGGATCTCCAGTTCCAGGCAGCCTCTGGGCACCTGCGAAGGTTGGCAAGTCACTCTGAGTAGCAGGATGATCATCAGCTGCTCCCTGGCCACATCTGTTTCTCAACTCCATTTCCTCAACTGGTTCCTCGCTGATTCGAGACCTTGCCTCCCCAAACTCTTGTCTAGGATGTCCTCTCCCCTCTTTTCACATCTCACACTCTAAGTCCTAGACACAGATCATGACCCAGCTCAGTTCTGTCACTCTCTGAAACTTTCTTCAATCACATGTCAGCCCACACCAATCCTTCTTACCTTTGAAGATCTCCAGTAGTTTTTGCTGCCTCTCTGTTCTGCACATTACCACTTGATTATGTCATTCTTATTTTGGTTGTCCAATTTTTTTTAGGTAAATCTGGACTCCTAAAGCACACTATCCCGGTTCCTCCAGGAACTGATCCTTTTGTGCTCTCTCTATGGGCAGTGTTGCCAGACACACAGAAGGAACCTGACTTGTAGATCTGGCTGCCATTTTCACTATTCCATTAGTGCAAAACTTTCGGCTGCCTTCTTTATCCAGATCTCAGTCCAACTGGCAGAAAAGAGATGCTTCTCTGGGGTCTGGTTGAGAAGCTGTTTCTAGTTCACTCCTCTGTCTGGATGTTGTGGGGCAAGGACTGGAATCAGTGACTTGGCCAAATTATTAGCAGAGGAATTAGTGACCTAGGGGACCCAAGATAGCAGTTAGGAAGGAGAAGGGGTGGAGAAAGAAGTGAGCAAGGGAGAAGAACCTGACTGTAATGGGGGCAGGGGGTAGTTTCAGACCTGCAGTACCACCAGTTGTCATTTAAGGGGCCCTATGCTGTGGTGGGCTTGCCCAGGGCTAGGGAATAAGCCAGACCCATACCAAGCAGAGAGCAGATGGGGAAAGAGTCTTCCACATTCACTTGGAAAAGAAATCTGCTGGGAGAGCAGAAGAGAATCCAGTAGTAAAGGGTGCAGACTGAGCCCTCGGAGGCGCTATCCTCTGACATTTCTTCCAGCAATCTCACCTCTGAAGAAAGGAAGGGTGGATCATAGATATAGATCTGAGTTTTACTGAGCATGTTGACCCTGTACCAGGACCACTGCAGAGAAAGCATCCCTGACAGGTCTCACAGCAACCTGATGAGGTGGCTGTCAATATCCCACTTTCTCAAAGAAGGAAACTGACACTCACATTATTACACTGCTGGTATCGTTGAATTTAGAATTAACCAAGCTGTCAGGCTCCAAAGCCTGGTTTCTCACCCCAGGAGGCCCATTGGGAAAAGTAACATTAAACCGTTTCTCAAGAGCCCTTGGGACTGAACAGGTCAAGGGTCCTCACGATTGGCTGGACCCAAATTGCAAGGGTAGGGGTGGGCATATGCTCCCAACCCACAGTGGGGCCCGCTAGAAACTTGCCACATAGGCCTCCTCCCTTCACTGATTCTGCGGAGACAAAGGAGCCGCAAGGAGCGCGGCTGGGAAGGTGGGGGAGGGCTCCCAGCCTTCTTGGTATCGGCCCTCATCGAGGTATCACCCAATCAGAGAAGCCTCTAAACCCAAGACCGTTCCATTGTGTTTGGGACCATGCAGTTTCATAAGATCCGGGCCTTATTTCTGGCACTAAATCTTTAGTTCACATGTGTGGGTCAGACTCCAACCCTTACCCCACATAAGAATAAGACCTTTGGACTATTTTTGGGGTGTGGGTGTTGTGTTTGTCTAAAGGTTTGACAGGGCAGCTCTTGAGGTTTGCTGACCTGATTTAAGTTGCTCTCCATCACCTCACTGTTTCATAGCAACTGATGCATTTTTTTTCATGTTGTTATTTCACTTTGAAAATGATGATTTTCCCTATGTCTTCTTCCACAGCATGAAAACCAAATTATTCACAGAGATCTGAAAGCAGAAAATGTGTTCTATACCAGTAACACTTGTGTGAAGGTGGGTGATTTTGGATTCAGCACATTAAGTAAAAAAGGTGAAATGTTGAACACTTTCTGCGGGTCTCCTCCCTACGCTGCACCTGAACTTTTCCGAGACGAGCACTATGTCGGCGTTTATGTGGATATCTGGGCCTTGGGGGTGCTTCTGTACTTCATGGTGACCGGCACCATGCCATTCCGGGCAGAGACCGTGGCCAAACTGAAGAAGAGCATCCTGGAGGGCACGTACTGCACGCCCCCGCACCTGTCGGAGCCCTGCCTCCGCCTCATCCGGGGGGTCCTTCAGCCCGTACCCACCGACAGGTACGGGATCGACTCCATCATGAACAATGAATGGATGCAGGGGGTGCCATACCCCACCCCTTTGGAACCTTTCCAGCTGGATCCCAAGCATTTGTCAGAGACCAGCACTCTCAAGGAAGAAGAAAATGAGGTCAAAAGCACTTTAGAACATTTGGGCATCACAGAGGAGCATATTCGAAATAACCAAGGGAGGGATGCCCGAAGCTCCATCACAGGGGTCTATCGGATCATTTTACATAGAGTCCAAAGGAAAAAGGCTTTGGAAAGTGTCCCAGTAATGATTCTACCAGACCCTAAAGAAAGGGATATAAAGAAAGGGTCCCGTGTCTGCAGAGGCATAAGACACACATCCAAATTTTGTTCAATTTTATAAATTGCATTAGATGACTGGTAATCAATTAACCAAGAGCATTGTCGCTGCTTTTAAATTTTTTCATGGACAACTTGGGTGAAGACGTTTTTGTAATTTTTAAATAAATTTAAGACAAGGGTTTTTCTCCTCAAAAAGTGTATTAGCTCAGATTCTGGCTTGCTCTGCTGTCTTGTTCTCAAACTCTAGCATTCATTCATTTAATCAAGAAATACATATCCAATGCCTCCTATGTGCCAGGCACTGTTCAAGGTGCTGGGGAAAGAGCAAAGATGTAGTAAGCCAGGTTCTCCCTCTCCTATGCAAGCTATTCCAGTGCTGGACAAAGACACTACCATGAAATCATCTCTTAAAGGAAAACGTTAGATAGTTATAGCTGCTACACTGAGAATTCAAATAGGGTAACCTGATGATAGAGGCTTGCTGCTTTGCATTAGATCATTAGGGGAGGCCTCTTTGAATAGATGACAGTCTGAAATCTGAATGAGACTCTTGAAAAGCAGGCCAAGAGCATTCCAGGCAGCCAGGTGTTTTACTCTGGGTTCCTCCCAAACAGAGCCTAAGACAAGGCTCCATGTAGAGCAGTTTATTTGGGAAGTGATCCTAGAGAGCAAGATTGCCAGACAAGGGAGAGGACCAGGGAAAGCCGATGAGAGTTGGCCAGTGGTACAGGTACTGGTGTCAGTCTTGCAGGGTCCTGTCCAGGGTACAAAAGGAGAAAGAAGGCATTTATCCATTGGTTCCTGTTCACCACTGGGCAAGAGTGGCCCCACAGTTTCACCTGCCTGCACTTTCAGGTCATGCTGTAAGTACCTCGCTACCCAGTGGTGCGACTGGGAAGAACATTTAACGGCAGATTATGCCGTTTGAGGAGTGCCGAATAGGTTCCCTGTGCTTCCCATGCTTTAGTGTCAGAGAAGCTTTGGAGCAGGAAGTAAGAGGTACACAGCACTGGCCTTAGATAAGATGCAGTCAGGTGTGACCTGGGTGAAGCCATCCAGACTTGCATGGAATTGGTTACTGCGTCAGTGGCTGAAAGGAGAATTGTGGCAGAGAGGCTGCGAAGTGGTACTGAGGAGCTACCTGATGCAGCCCACCCCAGGCTCTGTCAGATTCCTCCCATGTTAAATCCGTTGCAGAGGCATCTCCTTCCAGGGGGATGGGACCTGGAAGGACTTAATGCGGGGGCTCAGGAGAACAAGCTGCAGCTGTGGTTCTCAGGTTCTGGGGCATCAGCATCGCCTGGAGGGCTCGTTAAAGCGCACATGAGGTCTGACTGCACACCTGGGATGGAGCCCAGGCTCTGCCTTTCTGACGAGCCCCTCAATGCTGCTGCTGCTGCAAGTCAGGCACCGCACTTTAACGACTGAGCTTGCTCGCCACTGCAACTGGTGCTGGACTGTCCCCCCTCCCCATCACCCATTCCGAAGTCCCTCACCTTGGACCAGCACTTCAGCTGGTCTAGATCAGGTAAGTAGGACACAGACTTCGACCATCATGGGACCTGAGACCTTAGCTGCCTTGCCCTGTCAGGCTGTGGCTGCTGCCATGGCCTGCTCTCTGTTTCCACGAGGCCCGAAGGTGGCAGTCCAGTGAATCTCTTGGGCTCCAGACATACTCCTCTTTAGCTCCTTATGATAATCCAGGTCAATTATCTGCCCCAGTACAATAGCCCCTTCCTTGCCTGCTCATCCACTGGCACGGAGATCGCACAGGGACCATGCGGTGTTTTTAGAAGTCAAGTCACCTTACCCTTACCAGGTCCCCTGCCCCTGGAAGCAAAACTTCTAATCAATCTGAGCCTAGGTTGTAGGAGACAAGTTGTCTTGCCAATGGGTTTCAGCCCCCAGCAAGTTCGCTAGGGATTCAGTGTAACCAAAGAAAATGACAGTAGAACGTTTCTTTGGGGTGAAAGGGTTTATTACCCGGCTTGTTCTCCTGGCGGCAGGTTGAGCACTAGGTCTCTGCCTCAGCCCGGAGCACTGGGCCAAGCTCTCTATATAGCGCAATAATAGCTTATTGCCTACAGGTGTGGAAGCGGTAGCCTAGCAACAGGCCAGTTACATCATCAGTTAGTTTAAGTTCAGTGAGGATCCTGCCCATAGGAACCCCAACTTCCCCACACAAGTACAAATTCTTCAAGTGGGTCACTGATTATGGTGGAGATGAAGTCAAACCTACTTCTACCCATGTTTCCAGACCTGTGCATTTTAACATTAGGGCACATGTCCCTACCAGCCCATTAAAGCACGTGTACTGACTCCTGGAGGACAGCACCCAGGCATAGCCAGTGCTGTAGCTGAGCTACTCCATTGCTCAATTCATGCTGGCTGCTTCTGGTGTTGAGGTAGATAGTAAGATGAGCAGATCTCATAGTCAAGTGTCCTTTGACAGAAAAGCAATCCTTGAGGCAAAATTTTTGTGAGATACTGTGGCCATGGATCTGATATTGTCTATGTCAAAGCACAATTGAATTGGAGGGTACTCTGTGGGCAGAAGCAGATGTCAGTAGATGTCAGTCCCAGTAAAGGTGAATCACTGCCATGCCCATCTGAATTTATGACTCCATGGATCTGCTAATGCCCAGCTCATGAGGAGACAGCTCCATTTGTTTGGTCCCTTAGTCTCCCATAATCATGTGCAAAGTCTCTACTCAGGCCCAGTAGCATGCCTGGAGCCTGAGTAGTTCTCTGCTGCAGAGACTGCACACAGTATTCCTAACTGCCATGTATACAGCTAGAGCAGCAATGCAGTTTGCACCGAAGCCTGGATCTTTGTGGGGGTGGGGGATTGGGGTCAGGGGTAGGGGGTGGAGTCCACATGAAACTAACAGCCCTTTGGAGGAATATACCAAGTACAACATAGTGCTTCCAAACCCCAGGGAGGCCTACTAACCCCTGTGCCTATGTCTCACTGCTAGGTGGTACAAATGGTCCTTCTCTGTAGAAGGAATATATGCAGGCATGCCCCAGGTCATTGGTCCTCTAAATACTTCCTCAGGGTGGCAGGCCCGATTCTTTCCGGAGTTTGTCACCCACACTCTAGCACACGTTTTGCTAGGACATACGGAGTACTTTCCACCTCTGCCGCCAAATCCACCCAGCATGCTGTTACAATGCGGTGCACCACCACAGTGGTCTGCAGAATGTCAAGATCACCAAGGTCCTTTCAGAGTAAGAGCAGGAGATTTCACATTGCCTGTGGGGCAATAGGATGTATGAGAATTGCTGCCCAACCCAGAGGAACGTGAACTGCTTTGGATCCTCCTTTCTGATGGAAATGGAGAATGCATTTCCAAAGTGGCAATGCCTGTCAATGTTAGGGCCTTCCAGCAGAGCTACAACATCTAACTTAGCAGCTACCACAGGCCAACAGCAGCCCACTATCCATCCACTTTTGCTAGGATGCTAAACAAGGTTATGGTGGAGCCCATTGCTTTAGTGTCCTTTACATTTTTTGATGGTGACACTGATGGCTGCATCTCTTCAAATGATTGCTCATGATTTACCAACATGGCAAGGGAGAGGGTATGGTTTCACAGGTTTCCATGGGGCTCTTCCTCCCCTAATGGGTCTTCCTCTGCAGGCCAGGGGTCTAAATATATTTAACCCAAATATATTCTTGTAGACTGGAAAAAGAACCCCAGGATGGGACTCATTAGGAGATAAGGCTTTGGCCAGAACTCCAGCAGAACTCCTGGTTTCCAAAGCCCCCATCCACACAGAGGGTCATAATGGTATTGAGGGTCCCCTGGCATCTAGGGCAGCTCCTTTTAGCCAACCCTTAAGAAGTCTGAGTGGGTATACTGTATATACCTGTGGCATCAGGGCTTTTCCTTAGGACCTGGCCTCTCCATCACTGTGCACCTGGGACTATGATCTTCTCATAATGACAGGTGACACCAGCCTCTGCTCACCAGCTTGCCTCTTTTCTTTCTTTTTTTTGTTATATAAGTCAGATAACACTCCAGCCAGCTTTCACTCAGAACTTGGTGATCCATTGGCCATTGTCACAAAGCCCTACAGGTCAAAGCTTGATTTCCACTCCAGCCTTACTGTCCATTATATCCATGTCCCCATGACATTTAAGTGATGACACTGGCCTCTGCCATTTGAGAATCCCACTATCCCCACTGATAGTAGCATGCCCAGTGCTGTGGCATTTCCTACCATCAACGCCCCCACCCCGGAGGTGGGCAGCTGTCACGAGCTTTCCATAGATGCTGCTCCCATCTGTAGTACATTCCTTATTGACTCTGTGAAGGCAGTATCCTCCCAGGGAACCTAGTTAGACAGTTCTTCATTCTCACATAATGAACCCATCTTCACTTTCAGACCTCCTGGAACTTCCCTACTCTTTCCTTAATACTATCCCATGACGGTTCCACCACCTCCACCTCATTCACTGTTCGCTATACTCATGCCCAAGCCTCAGCAGCCACTCCAGCTATAGGAAGGACCAGCTTCAGGTGTCCTTGACTGCAAGTCATGGGCCAATGTTCCCATGATCATAAACTAACTCGTCCTTATCCTAATATTCTTTCGTCTGCTTCTGCCCCAGCCCAACATCCTCAATATCTACCTGTACACAATTTCCTCTGCTTCCTGATAGTGCATTCTAGCCAAGTTCTGCAATTCCCTTCACTCTGTGTCTAAGCTATTTCCTCCCAGAAGTTGTATTTCTCTTCTTGGGCTGTGTTGAGACCTAACCAGTTCTTGGTTTGGAGAATAATAAGGATATTGGAAGATGGTGTCCAGGATGTCAAGCATGATCTTGCAGACATCTGCCTCACCAGACCCCTCGGCAGGGTCTTTAGGCAAGGAAGAATGAGCTGCTCCCACCAGCCCCACATGAGGGAATTCTGGTTTCCAGGCTCAGCCACACTACTGTTACTTAGGCCCCTGTCCCACTCACTTCCTATCCAGGCTCTGACTTTGCTAAAGAATTGTCAAGACTGAGTATTTTATCTACTTTGCAGCCCAGCTGGCTTTACAGTTCAATCCTGGGCCAGTTTTGGGTAGTTTTCCTTCTGCTGCAGGAGATAAGGCTCTCCTTAACCCTTGCTCCAAAGGCCGTGCACTCCCAGTGCACCTTGAATTGATAGTTGGCTAACATAGCCTGTCATTTTCCCCCAGGTGTCCCGAACAGTTAATGAAAGCTAGCCAAATCCCCCTTATCACTGCCCCAGTCTGTTCAAAGTACCATAGAAACCACAAGATTCAGGACATCTTCCTATACCTAGAGGTGCATCCCGGTGGTAACTGCACTGCTCCTGCACAGCGGGGGTCATCCAGGCCCTGTTCACCAGCAGGGCCTCGGTGTTATATTGATGTAACAAACGCCACAAACACAGTGGCTTAAAACACAAATGTATTACCTCACAGTTCTGTGAAATAGAAGTTCATCATGGGTCTCGCTGGGCTAAAATCAAGGTGGGCTAAAATCAGGACTGGGTTCCTTTCTGGAGGCTCTAGGAAAGAACACATTTCCTTGCTTCATGCTTCTGGGGGCTGTCCACATTCCTGGGCTCATGGTCCCCTTCCTCCATCTTCAAAGCCTGCAATGTTGCATCTCTCATCCTCTGCAGCCATGTCTCCCTCTGACCACAGCTCCGAAAGTCTCCCTGCTTTTAAAGACCCATATGATTAGGTTAGGCCTATCCAGACAATCTAGGATAATCTCATCTCAAGGTCCTTAACCTTAATCACACCTGTTTTTGCCGTACAAGGTAACATATTCATAGGTTCCTAAATTAGTCATCTTGTGGTAGGAGTGGGGGGTGTCATCATGCTACTAGCAGCGATGGGGTGATTGCCATGGCTGGTAAATACACCAGCTACAGCCTATCCTGAAGCCTCCTTTATAGGATTATTCTGGGTACCAACTGTCTTAGCCGAGATCCTCAAAAACAAACAGACCAAGACAAGAGTTGGCACCTAAGTTATTTATATGATCCCAGGATGCAGGAGATGCAAGCTGTGAAACACAAAAGAGGAAAAGCAACATAAAGATGCATTGCCAAATTGGCCATAGGCAACTGGTAGTTGATTCTGCAACATTTTCTGAGGAACCTTCTGGAATGCTTCTCAGAACTGTCTGCCCGAGATGAAAGGAAGCATTTATCCACCAGCAAGCATCAACCACTGGTCAAGGGGTAGCCACATAGGCACTAACTCCTCTGCACTTCTGGGCTGTGAAATTGTTGGTATTGAATGAGTTCTGTGGGGGTCCGATCAGTGAGGCTGAAGTGAAAGGAAGTGTAGCAGGAACCCAGATAAGGTGCTAACATGTCCTGATATCCTGGTCAAAGACCGCATGGAGGCAGTTGCCACAGCTGTGGCTGGAGTAGAAGGCAGAACAAAGTCTGAAGTAGGGTCTAAGGTTTCTGATGCACAGATCAAAGGCTCTGAGGTTGGAATAAACTTGGCTCATTTAAGGCAGGAAAAGGCAGGGTGGATGAAAACAGTAGGCCTTGGTGAGTGTGGTACTGAATTGAAGTAGGCGGGCAACAAACCCCATGATTTGGCAGGACTGAATAGGGAATTAATACACAGGGTGAAAAGTGCCTACTACTGAGTATGGTGGTCTGGGCAGGCTTCAGGGAGGAAGCAACTCTTGAGATGAGACCCTGAAGATTAACAAGGTGTTGCTAAAATGGGTTGGAGGTTCTAGTTTAATAGGGTGTGAAAAACTTAAGAGGCAAGGGGACGCTTATTCAAAACCCACTTAAGATACAATAGATGCCTGCACAATGGTGAACTGGGGCAAAGAAAAGATGAATTCCTCTTTTATTTCTAAACATTAAAATGAAATGCTTTTATTATAAACAA